GGTGTGTGCCGAGGGGGATCCGGGTGTTGGTGAGGGCTGGGATGGGGGTGTGTGCCGAGGTTGGCGATGACAGCAGTGTCTGTGCATGTGCAGTATGTGGCCGCGGGACTCGGTGTCGTGCTGCCGCACAGCTGCGGGCTGGGCTGGCCCCGGGGTCCCGGGGGGGCTGCTCTGCCCTCGCCCGTCACCCAGGGGCTCGCTGCTTTGTGCCTGGCCTCGCTCTTCCCTAGAGGAGTCAGTTAGATGGAGTTGTTCCTCTTGAACTTGGCGGTTACAGAGTCGTGTCTTGGTGAGCGAAGGACTCATTTGTTTAAGGCTTGTTCACCTCTCTCCATCCTTGACCACCTGTTTTTTTTCCAGCCACATGGCAAGAGGTCTCGGGGTGCTGTTGTCCCTCTGAACACGCATTCACATACGTGCACTAGATGTGTATCATTGCGTCTGTGCCGTGAGGTGTACTAGTCTTTATCTGCAAGGTGAAATTCCGTCCTGTGAGACGCAGGGAGTTCAACTCTGAGCCTTACAGGTCCCTTCCAGCTCGAGATATTCGATGATTCTATGAAATCTTGAAAGGGAGGGCCTGCAGTGGTGGTGCCTTGTTGTAAGGCAATGATTTGATATGGTTTAAGCCTTTTTTTTAAAGGTATGTGTAATACAATTAGAGACACTGTCTTTAGAAATAAAATTGAGACTCTTATGGTATAAATTTTACTTTTTAATACTTTTAAAAATTACTTCAGTATTTACTAACTGTGTCACATAGTTAACAGGCATCTTTTCAAGTCGAAGGTACTTGAAGAAACTGTTGTTGTAGTGCCAATAGGAAAAGGTGGCCAAGTGCCTATTGTACTACCTGTTTCAATGGAAAATGAATCACTCTGCTAAATGTGAAGAGATCACCTCAAAATTAAGGTGTGTTACCAGAAACATACAGAGTGTATTTCTTCTTGGAGAGAAGTTGTTTGGTGTTTTCCCAAAGAATTAACAGTGTTTACAGTCCAGGAATTTGATAGAAAATATGAAATAGAACTGTCTAGGTTGGTAACTGGTTGTGTGAAATGAGCTTCACGTATAAATAACTAACTTGTCTTTATTTCCTTGCATCCATACGTTTCCATCCTCCACCCGGTTGTCAGTTGGGTGTCCTGTGCCTGCCCCCACCCCTGCACGCAGCCTGATGTGTCCCCTGCGGTCCCCGAGAGGGTCAAACACGGCACCTCTCGTTTGCCGGTGAAGACGTGGAGTCTCTTGGTTCTTGTTCTGTTGAAACACCTGGATAATTAGAGTCAGCACTCTCAATTGTTGACTTGCACAAAGTGAATAAGCAAACAAAGTAAAGGAGCTTCAGTTTTGACATTTTCATACTGATGAACTAATGGTTTGTTCATAAGAAGTTAACGCGAATCTCTGTGTGTAGGGAGCCCAGATGTTTTTGTGTGTGTGTGCACAGTATATATGGGCCAGAAGCACAGCACTGAGTCTCTGTATCATGAAACAAACATGTGAATGCAGCGAATGTGTTTAGGTAATGGAAGTATTTTTGAGCTTGGCTTCTTGCCCGCCTGCCACATACGTAGTTGGCCTGACAGCCGTCCATGCCTGGAGCTGTAGTTGGCCTGCCAGCCGTCCACGCCTGGAGCTGTTGTTGAGGAGATCATTCCCTCTGGGCATGTGTGTTCAGGGGAGTTGATCTGCTTCAGCCACAACCTCTTGATCACCACTGGCCTGTGGCCTTTGCTGGTGACGTCTGTCCCGCAGACTTGCTCGCACAGCCGTGCTCGTGGGATGGTATCACCCCGTCCAGCTCTGCCCCTGCTGTGGATTCACCCTCTGCCAACAGACCTGTGCTCTGCAGTGCAGCTGGCTTCACCCTGGGGAAATGCTGCTCCAGGACCCAGCCCCGGAGCTGGTGTTGTCTGGGGAGGGTGCTTTGGGGTACGGTGCAGTGCTCAGCTGGCACGTGTCCACCCGAGTGCCACCACCTCTGTCTGCTCTCGGGATCCTGACCTGCAGCTCTGTCTTTGCTGGTGGCTGCAGAGGCAGGGACAGGAGAACAGGGTCAGAGCTCTGGCTGGTTCCGCAGCCTGGACCAGCCCTCCTGTCTGGGTCAAGCTCAGCCGGGTTTTTGAATGAGTGTGGCACTGTGGGAGCATTAACGAGGGATGGGCTGGCTGGCACCTGGCCACATGTCATGGAGTTGGGAAACAACTAAGTAAAGAAAGGAGCAGTTTGGGCACAAGGAATAGGAACAGTCATGAAAGAAAGTGACTCTGTTTCCAGCCCAGGAGTTCTTCACCAGAAGTGTTTCATTCCTATATCCAATATTTGTGTATTTGTTCATTGTGGGAGGAGGGGAGGAAAACAAACTGAGATATTTCCAGTGGGCAGACCCTAATGATAGCCTTGAAAAGGTCCATCACATGATATGTTCAGCTGCTGTTTTAGCAGCATCCACTGTATTTGCGGCTGGAAATTTTTCTAGTGTGTTAGAACTGAAAAAGAGAATGTAAATATGAGTTCAGTTGCCATAAATGTGTGTGTGGGGGGGGAATGTGTGTAACAGAGAGCAGTGACTTGTCCCTCACAGCTGCGCCTCTTTTCTCAGCCCTCTGCGAGCACACCTGGCTGGGTACCACCCCGGGCACCTGCAGGTTCCAGGGAACTGAGGAGCTCCCAGTGCTCTCCATCAGCTGGTGAAGAGAGGGGTCCTCTCTGCAGAGCCCGGGGTGACCCCACGCTGTGTGTGGAAAGACACGTGCTGTTCCTGTTGGGTTTGCCCAGCTGGGGATCTCCGGACACTTTGCTGAGGATACGTAGAAGTTTAGTTTCCAACTCTGTATGTTCTCTTAGAAGTTACTCCTTTCACTTGGGCAGAGCACCTGGAGTTGGCAGGGAGGTGTTGTGCCTGCTGACAGGGTGTGCTGCTTCTTGCTTTGCTTCATATCTTCATGGTTACTCAGACTCACTCGCAAGTACTCCTCACAGGCTTGTCTTCCTGGGAAACTCGGTCCAGGTTCACTTTCCAAGCGAGGTAGTTAAACCCGCTGAACCCTGAGTAGCTGTGTCCACTGCAACTCTAAATGGCCTTCACTTGGTTTGGTTAAAGGCATTTCTGGAATGCTTGAGAAAAACTATTTCCATGTAGAAATGTAATGTAGTTTAGCAAATCTGTTTTAAATTTGCACTGTTTGTTAGGGTTATTTCCCCTCTGCTGAGCGTCCCTGTGTAGATGACCCTCCCGTGTTGTATACCCGTAGCAGTGTACGTGTGAGAGGTGACTAAGATGTCACTGAACTCTTGACATTTGAGTACTTGGAGTGGGGAGGTCTGACTGGTATTTCTTTGGTGCAAGCTCCTGTCTTTGCCTTGCTGAAATGGCTAAATTAGTATCATTAGCTCCTACTGGGTGGTTCTTCAGCAAGAATAATATTTCTTCCCTTAAACGGAAGGTTTTATTGTCTAGTGATTTTGTTGTCTTTATATAACTGAAACAATTAAGAGTACAATGGTGTGTTTTCCTCAACTCTCTCCCTTTACAGATGATGAGCTGAAGCTGAACAGGGTCCACTACGAATGTGTGTGTGAAGGCATGTCCTGTGGGAATGGAGATCGTTGCCAAGGCCAGCAATGTTTTGCTTCCCTGAGCATTAATGACGGTGCTAAGGTTTACCAGAAAGGCTGCTTCCAAGTCTACGAACAAGGGAAAATGACCTGCAAAACACCTCCATCTCCTGACCAAGCTGTTGAGTGCTGCCAAGGATACCTGTGCAACATGAATATCACCGCACAATTGCCTTCTTCTAAAGGTGAGGGGTTAATTAATAAATGGTGAATTTTGAGAAAATAAAAAAGGGTCTTATCAATGTCTATAAAAATCTAAAGTGGGGGGGCTAAATGGTTGGGGCTGGGCTTTTTTCA